GGGCACCAGTCGTGGACCCTGCGCAAGACAGGCGACCGCCCAGGAAAACAAACTTAGCAGCAGCCATGACTACATTCGAAACACGCGAGGGAACGTTCCCCCGCATCCAGCAGTGTTTAATCTTCATCTAGCTCAACACAAATCAGTAGTGCAGCAATATAAATAAAACCAAGGAAGTTAAAGCCTTTTTGGCTTTCAGAGCTAAAAAAAAAAAAAAAAAAGCAAACTAAACAAGTTTCCAGTTTTTAAATTAAACGCAAAGAAAGGCAATAATCTGCCCACCCATCCACAGAGCAGCAGCATCCTTCATGCCAGCAAGAGGCCAATTTCTGCCTGAGGGCAGGGGTGCAACTCAGGGCAGCAGCACAGTGAGATACAGGAGCGGGTACGGGACAGGACGGCCACACGTGGCTGGCTGCTGGGAACTGGACAGACCCACCCCCATCTGCCTGGGTTGTGCAAATTTTTTAAGGAAAAAAAACCCAAAACACCACAAAAAAACCCCCAAACCCCACAGTATCTAGCAATTCATAACTGAGATATGGTTAATGTCCAGACTCACGGACGGCTTGGTGAGCGACAGAAGGTGCTGGGGCCACTGAACGACATCTCACAGCTTTGGAATCGAGCCAGACATTAGACACGGGTACCAAAGGCGGGCGTCTCCTCCCAAGCTCTGGTACCCCGCGGGACAGCTGGCTGCAGGAAGGGCTCTCCTAGCTCAGCCAATTACCACAGACACGTCGGCTTCTCAGGTCAGAACAGGCACTGTGTCACCAGAGCTCCCAGCAACAGCCGGACAGTAATTTAGAGCAGCTACAAAACCCTCTCCTACCTGCAAGCTGATGGAGCGTGACCATAATGTTTTCATTCGCCCTCCCCTCCACTCCACAAGCAGCCAAGTGCATGTGAGAGGACAAGTTTAAATCAAAGGAGTGCTTAAACCATTAGGGAAAGTGGGAGAAAAGGAGCAGAAAGCTGTTGGGCAGCAGGAGCAGCCCGTGGTTGGCTACTGGAGCCCAAAGGGAGCTCAGGGCACAGCTCGCAGCTCAGCTCCCAGGAGCTCCCAAGGCAAGTGAGCTGCAACCGGTCGTTCCTCCGCTGCAGCCTGAGCGGGGCGGGGAGGGTCCTGCACATTCACAGTTGCTTCCAGTGGTTCCATCCTTCCTCTCCAGCAGCCAGCTCTGTCTCTCCTGACACATCGCCTGGGGTTCACAGTTGCCTTCTCCTTTTCATTTCCCTTGAAGTTCATATTCAAGTACAACCAGTTTAAATTGAATGGAAAGAAACCCACAGAACCAAAGTTATTTTCTGTGACACGAGTTAGCAGCGTTGTTCTGATCGAAGCAGCCTCTGAAGGTCCCTGTGGGAGGGGCATGGGGGTGGCCTTTCCCACCGCGCTCCAGCCGAGGGCAGCTATAGGATTTCCTCGCGCTGGTTCTTGGGTTTGGGAGTCACTTGTCCGTTGCGCAAGGAGCCGTTCTGGCTGCGGAGCAGCTTCCCTTTCTCACGGTCGGGCCACGTGAAGATGGCCTCGTCACTGTCCAGTTCAGACTCCGAGTGCATCAGGCTGGTGTTGAGGACCTGGGCTTTCTGCCTGCCACCTTTGAAGGAGAGAGATCCCCACATTAAAAATACTTTTAATACCAGTCAACAACCCCACCTTAGTCCATTCCCTCCTGAAATCTTCTTCTCCTATCACGCCAAAGGAGCAGCCTAACCGGACGTTCCCCGTGTGTGTCACTCGTTCCCCCAAATGCTGAGGCCAAAGCGATCCTGCTTCAGACACTCGGGCACGGCAGAGGTCACAACAGCGCTCCAGGACAGCGCAGAGCACAATCAGGTTACCAGGAGGGGCTGTCAGCATATGTGGGAGCTTCGTCTCCCTGACCTTGCTCAGGGCATTGCTAGAAAGCCGAGGGCTAACGGCTGGAGTCAAGCGAACACGCAGGTGTGTGAGGAAGTCTGCTGCGCTCTTACTACCCTCCCTACTCTCATCTCTGCTTCTCCTGCCTGCAAGGGAAGGGAGATAAATTAGCAGGCTGAATTTAGATTAATGCACAAGGGCAGAAGAGAGACATTTACTGATATTGTCAGCAGAGGAAATACTTAAATTTAGCTTTTCCTTAGTGGAGAAGTGCAACATTTCCTCTGTTAGTGGAATGCTCCCTGGACATTCTAGCAAGGAAAAAGACTTTAGTCAGCAGCCAGCCTCAGAAGAGGCAACATGAGTTTGAGGTGCACGTTTGCTACAGACTGCAGAACAACGAGCTCTTTATTCAACAGCGGGGCTCTTCCGTGGGAGGTGACAGATGGTCAGATTAAAGCAGAGTTGGGTGCTGAGGGAGGAAAACACACCTGGATTTTCTTCAAGGGTATCCATATCCGCGCAGCCGGGACCGCCCAGCCCTCAGAGGAGCTGCCCGATCAGCTCTGTCGCTGCAACGCCCCCGGCGCTGCCGCTGGGCACCGAAGTGGGACAGCGCTAGGGTGAGCAGGTATTTTCCACTAGCAAGCCAGGACCAGGGACTATTTCCCACACACGGTTAAAATAACTCCTCCTCTAAACAAAACCAGGATGCACAATCTTATCTAAAACACGTGTTTCAGGAGCTGGTGCTTCCCACTGCTTGGCAGGGCTGGGCTTTGCACGCATTTTCCCCCCATTTGCCTCCTTTCCTGGTCAGTCAGGAGGTGACCACAGCTCAGTTCAGGTATCAAGACACAGTTGCAGTGAGGAAAAAAAAGGAAGCCCTGCACCCAGATCTGAAACATCTTCTGAGACTCGTCTGTCAGCACCGAAGATGACATTTGTTACACTCCATGATTTTAAGCCCACTGAGGAAGCATGTTCTTAGTCAGCGTTCTGGAAACGCTTGGCTCTTCCCTCTCATGTTTTACCTGTTTTGGGATTTGGTTTTAGCTCCAAGCTTTCTTGATCTGTTGCATCCAAAATCTTGTATTTGCTTTTTCTTTTGGATTTTCCTTTTCGTCTAAAGGGGAAGAAAAGGAATTAAGAGGCAGGCCATTTCTAAAAAAGCAGGGAAAAAAAACCAACTCTGATCTGCAAAGCTAGAGTACTTGCTTATTTCAGACTATGCTCATATCACAAAGCAAAACGTTAAAAACATTGCTTCAGTTGCACATTTACGAGTTAATCCAAATCTTGCTTCTTAACCGAACCCAGAGTTCTAGGACCTTTATGTTACACTTGAAACACTGAGGGATAAGCCCTGACACCCCAGGGCTAAGCAGACAACCTGCTGGGACAACGGGTTTGGATTTTTCACCTCCTAATGAAGCTACTTGGCTCTGAAGCCCCGATACCGCGGGGGTTACGGCCTCAGTCCCACCTCTTGCAGCAGCAGATCACCATCCAGGACAAGATTCCGACGGCCACCACAATGACGAAAGATGCAATGATCACATACAGCACGCTCCACTCTGAAAGCAAAACACCCCAGAGACAAATATGTTTGGGCACCTCACGCAGCTGACAGTGTGTGCTTCAGATGACTGTTCCTGGGACAGAAAAAGAAAGGCCTGGCCCTTTGCAGTCAGAGGCTAGAAACCATCACTGACAGAAGCCAGAGGCTTGAGACCCAACGTGTGGACTCACTGCAAGCAGGCATTTTTCAGTGTATACTGATTTATAAAATTTGCTTTCCTGTGGCAGGAAAGCTTTTGCAGGGGCATGACAGCGAAGAGCTGTGATTTATACACTAAGAACAGACTTGACCCTCTTGGTGAACACTCGCTAAGGGTCTGAAGAGGAGTCACTTCCCCATCAAACAGCGCCTGCCCAGAATGCG